CTCATATCCCCCACTCAACTCACGTTCGCCTCGCCCGATCACACTTTTCATAACGCTTTTGTTCGTTCGTCAGCTTACTCCCCAAGACAAGCGTGCGTAAAGAAGTTTTACTCCAAAAATGCTCTGACCATAAAAACGTGTAAAAGTACATATTATTAATTGTAATGATAGTTTTCAATGCACTTTTTTCGCTTTTACGTCCGTAACACTGCAGACCATCGTAAACCGCTGTTGAACTTATTATACGTAGTAGAGCCATGCTGCAGCTATATTAGTAGTATAGTTGCGTTTTGATTCTAAATCGAGGATAAAAATAGATGTCAATGGGCCACAGCGCCCACTTACCATTAGGTGGACTGTGTGCTCGTTTGTCACCCTTATTATATAAAAAAATTGGTTTGTATGCGTCAAGAAAAAATAGTAGTTCCAAATTATCTTCAATTTAAGGTATAATGGAGTAATTAAAATTCATCTAAGTTCAGCATTTACTTAGATAATTTCAGATTATATTAAATATTAGCGTTGTTCTGCTAGCAATGTTCCTGATTAGCACAGGTAGCACTAAGTATCACCGTTCGAACGAATAACATCTTTTTTATAGAATTAGAGTGACTAACTAGTACACAGTGCAACTGATGGTAAGAGGATGCTGTGGCTCGAAGAAATCTATATTTAATCTCGATTGAGAATCATTTTTTTAGTATTTTAAGCGTCGCGGACCTTTTATAAGAGATTTATGGGAAGAACGAGTCCACGATACGTTATATTCATATCACGATAGTTTATCAATTTACGCAGTACATTCTAAAAACAGGCACGGTATTTTTTGACTTAATCTACAAATATCATCATTAAATTAACTGATTTTCAAAAATAATCATAAATTATATACCTAAGTCTTCCTGTTGAAACTTATTTCTGTTGGTGGAAACCGAATGAAAATCCCCACAGCAGGTAGTTTCTGAGATCAGCGCCATTATATATACTTACAGATAAACGCCGCGGGGGTTTTTACTTTCTAATATGTATTTGATGTACGTTCATTTTTAACCCTACAAATTCAGTTACCAAATATTTAACACAGCGTTTCAATAAAGCGTAACACAAAGGTAAACCCCACTCATAAAGGGCGTACTAAAATACATATAACGATTTCATTAAAAATCAGAGCATATAATTTTGTTGCGTGTAAGCAAACAACCTTCCCCGCATAAAATTATTATGTATCAGATTCTAAGTTCGCTTAATTTCTGGTTAATTCCTGCCGAAACTATACGACATCGCTAATCATATAACTAGTACAAGCAATTACAAGCTGACTCCGTGTTGTATGATCGTTACTGAGGTATTTCAAAGAAAGCCCCACAGTGGTTCGGGATCACAACACGCCGTACGACCCAATTAAAGTTTTCGTTACTTGAGGCCCCTACACTTGTAGGGGTTGAAGACTGCTTTGCAAATAATGTAATTTGACAATGCTCATGTTGTTTAAAAATATACAATTACAGTATATTTTATGTTAAATAACTTATTATTCCCTTTCTATATATCTTTACTTATATATATGTATATATATATATATAAGGTGATCAAGTTCGTTTGTCACTCTATATATAAAAATACCACGACCGGCTGCGATTTGAACCCAAAACCTCTAACGCTATATACCATTATGTATGCCAGTATTTATTTTAACAGGGTTATGAAAGTTAGCGTGTCTGAAATTTCGCACTCGCTGTGTTCGAATTAAGTGGAAATATTTCGTGTAATCTTAAAATGCCGGTAAAATGGAGATAGTGAAATGTTAATTCGCTAAATGAAAACGCCCCCCATTCCAGCTCCGTGGCCTGAACGAGATTTGATTAAGCAACAAGACTGACATTATTTCTTGGATATTTCGAAATTCGTTTTGGCCCGGTAATCCAAGATTTCGGGTGGCGGGATCGCTCGCTTAACTTTCGGATGTAATTCACCCGCTCGCGGAACGTACCTCGACTAATTTCGCGAGTAAGGAACTTCAACGGTTCTTCAAATAGACCGAGTTTTGAAATTAACCGAGTTTGCAACGCAATTACGGATCGTCCGTGAAGTTAGTACATTGAATAAGTTAATGTTCAAGCTGCGATGGATGATAAGATGTTTGCTACAGCTCATAATGTGTTATATTTTTTATATATATCTCGATAGATGATATAGGTGGAACTTTATATTATAGGTGACCCCTGTTCATTCACTCACAACCATTTTTATTTCCACATTACAGTCTGTCAAAAGTCTTCTACTAGATAGTCCTCTACTAGACTGCCTCGTAGGGGCTTTTTAACCTATTACGAGCTGTGAAAAAATGAAATAAATAAGTATAAATAGAAAAAAGTACAGCACGATGTCGCCTGCTGTACTTAACCATTTACATAAAATGTGTAGTATACAAAATTGTTTCTGCCTGTGTTACTAAACGTATACGTGTTAAAGCCATACTGCGGCATTATGGTTTTAACACTAATGGCTCGACTTCAGCCGGGATGCACCACGCTTTCACAGAGGACCAGTGTTAAGTAGCAGTTAAATTGTATGGTGAGTATAAAGAACTGGATACCCTTGTTACTGAAAACTAGGCATTCATTCTATCTTAGTCCTCTGGGGTGAGAATGCATCAGCATTTTGATTCGTAATCGTTGATAGGCATTGATGTCTAATGGCCCACAATATCTATATACCATCACGAGGACTCTGTACTTGTCAACTTTGTTCCATAAAAAATTGAGTTCCGTGATACAAGTATACTCACTCGTCTATAAACGTCAGTTTCTCATGTACGTATTGAAAATTAAAACATGGTATGCTTAGTAGAAAAAATTTTTGTTTTATTTCCAAAATTCGTTTCACATTATAACAAAAAATAACCTGTATTCGTCGATAATCAAGGAAGCTAAATATACACCTAATTAGAAAACAAACTAAACGTTTTGTATTTCCTTTAAATCTTCTTTAAAACCATTGGAAAGTGTTTCGGCGCTTAAAACTTTTCACTTGGAAATCCCATAAAGCGCTTAAAATTTATGAAGTAACAATCGACCTTATTTAGATTGTTTGCCCAACCTTCGTCGACCCTTTTAAAGGGATGGCTTCAACGAATCTGCATGAAAAAAATCGGACACAAAGCACGCCGTTTTAAAACGTTTCTTTGTCCAATTTACGACATTTATGTAGAAAAATCTTATTTTATTCAATGAAAATTCATTCTTTCTAATTATGAAAATTCTATAGTAGATATATTTCTAAGTTATATTCAAGCAATATTGCAAAAAGACATTTTGATGACACCTAAGAATTAGATGATCTCTACTAAGTTACTTTTCATTCATTTTTATATTCTTATATTAAAAAAAAACTTTATTTTGGATTATGCTAAATCTTCTATTAGCTTCTGTCTGAAAACTCTAAATAAGTCTATATTTATTCTTCTTTATTCATGACGGTTACTTGTACAACCAACCCAAAATCAATCAATCAATCAATCATACATACGGTCGTTCATTCGAATGCATACTACATTGGTCTTTCTTTTATGAATCTCTGTGTTTGAGCGTTTTGCGTGTGAGCTGATGGCAACACTTCTTAGGCATATTACCTTAAGCCCGTGATTATCATAGCGTTCTAATATTAACTCTTTCGCAGTATAAGATTAACGTTTTTTTAATTATGAAAAAAAAATTAACCACATAATTATATTAATGATAGTGTGGTAATCGTTTTAATATTACATATAACTGGTTAATACACTATAATAATTATATACCTTCCTCAAAATTCGATTTGGTTAATGCGCTGCCAAGCTACAAAACAAATTTTTTTATACGTTTGACTAACATTTGTAATTGAGGTTTTATAACTGCCATGTATTTTGACGATCTCTAGAGATTTTCCATGCAAAAGGGTCTCCAGTAACCCTTTCGACCATAAACGTTGATAAAACAGTCTACTATTTCAAATGCTACCGTTACATAAATGAGACTTTCTAAATATTTTTTCAACAAAGAAGTTTATAGCCGTTATATATTTTTTACGATGAGCAGTAACGTATAGAGTTTTCGTGATAGAATATTTAATTTATTTCAAATTTTTTTTTCATATTGGTTTAGAAACCAATTGCTTTGTGCTAAAAATGAAATAAAAATTTGAAAAGGAAAAGTTGTACCAGTTTGAACTAAACTCACTATTAACTTTCCATTTAGTGATTAATGAAAACTGAATCAAGAATTCATTATGCAATTAAGCGTCGAATGAAATTAGGTTAGAGATGATAATATATCATATTCATCATCACTACAGCCCTTCACAAGTCCACTGCTGAACATAGGCCTCCCCCAAGGTATGCCACAAAGCACGATCCTGAGCCACCTGCATCCATCGACTTCCTGCATATCTTACCAGGTCGTCATTCCATCTAGTGGGGGGTCGCCCTACACTACGCCTACCGGTACTAGTTGATAATATATACGAACGTAAATATTGCCGCGCGCAGATTTTCCGATGATCAGGTGGTCCTATTCGTAATTCAGCCGACCGCGTCCCGTGGCTGTCTGCTCTGTGGACTCTCAACTTGACATATCATTAATGCTATAATATTAGATATTACCGAAATTGGAACTAAAGTTATTTCATGTGACTAAACGGTGATATATTATATCACCGTTTAGTCAACAACTTTCGTTTATTTTTGATATTTTTAACAGTTGTAGAAAATTAACTTGTTAACTCATTATTAGCAACGGTTCAATCGTAAACGCCATGTCATAAAGAATTAGCAAACCTGTGCGCGATAATTTGTTTCATCTCCCTATGTCGCCTCTTAAACCACCCCCAGTTGATATTGGGTAGTAGACTTCACTTTCGCCGCCACAACATTGCTGTAAAGGATTATTCGCATAAGAAATAAATATTTATTTGTTGTATAGATGTCTGATAATTTATTAAATATTTTGCATTCTTCTTTGCAGCTGACAAACTGCCGCCGGGTTTTCCGACTGTTGCGCAACCACCGTCTACGATGGTCGTGGAAGTCGGCCACACGGCAACGCTGCCATGCCAGGCGAGTGGAAGCCCTACCCCCAGGGTACGCTGGCTTTGGAACTCGTTGCCTTTGGATGTCGCCTCTAATCCAAGATATGCGTTGCTCAACGACAAAATGCATGGTAAGTTTTCGTATTAGACAATTATGATATGTAACTAACAACATTGTAAAGTACGAGAGAATGTTTTTATAGGATAAAGGTGAGAAACGAGCGCACAGTCCACCTGATGTTAAGTGGTTGCTGTTGCCTACATAGACATCTACATCTACCCTCGATTACAAATCAAAATGCAGATGCGTTGTCACCCGTGAGGACTAAGATGGAATGCCTCGTTTCCAGTAAAAAGGGTCTCCGGTTCTCTATACTCACTATACGAAACAGAGTAGCGTTAAGCTGCCATTTTACGCTGGTATTATGAGAGCGTGGTCCTTCCCCTGCCCATTAGTGTTACAACTATACCAGTAATATAGATGCAGCGTGGCTCTACCGCGTAAAAATTTATAAGATAAAGACGATAGAGACGATGATAAAGATGAAGGTAATAGAGCTAGTATAATTATAGACAATTAGATATTCCATCTTAGTCCTCGTAACCGCTCAGGCGGCCACTTGAGCGGTTATTTCTGAAAACCCATCCGCAGCCTTCTTTTTTTGAGTTGGTTGCATTTGTGCATGTGTCGCAGTAACTAATCAACGCTGATATTTTTTTATAAATACGTTATGTGCGTGCGCGTTCTTGGTTGAGCAAGCAGATGAGTTTGTGTATTTGGGATGTGTATTTAGTAGGTATAGGTAGATATGTTATGGATATAGAACGACGTGTGAACGCAGGAAATATAGTAAATGGGCCCTAGATCCTATTATGGAAAGTCAGAATGTGTCAAAAAACACGTATGGCAATGCGCCATGCTGTTAGTCCCTACTTTAATGAAGAAGGAGGAGCGTATAATAAACGCTGTAGAAATGCGGTCATCGACATCATGGTGCGTTAGGACTGAATGTGAGTGACAGGGTGAGTACTTGTGTGATAAGAGAAGACTGTGACTTACAAGATGAAGTTATGACCAGGGCTAAGAAAGGAATGCTTCGGTGGTTTGGCCATATAGAAAGAATGAGCGAGGAAAAAGTAACAAAGTAAATTTATGCTACAGAAGTGAACGGCAGATTCAGAAAGCGTGCTTAAGCGACAGTAGCCTATGACAGGGCGCGGACCGCGAACTCAAAAAGATCGTAGGTTCGAATTCGCCATTCGGTTACTGGCGTGAACCACTCTTAACTCAAGAAACTTAAGCTTACCACGAGTGGTTAAGGGGAATATTAGTAATGTTTATAGCATTGTTAATAATCTTTTGAAAAAAAGAACGGCATGCTCTAGACGAAGGTTATCGACTAAATTAGCGATATATTGAAAATGGGCCAAATTAAGGGTACCTCTAACCGATGAGCATGTATGCGTAGGTATATGGATGTGGTGGAGACGCGAGAGGTATGTCAGGATCATACCAAATGAAAGTCCGTAGTCTCTGCCTACCCCCCTGGATAACAGACGTGAGTGGTTATGTATGTATTATGTATTTTATGTTATATGCCTACAAATCCACCTATTACACATTGTAATGTTTTACTTACATTTCACTACATTCTCTCTCGCTCTTCGTGTTCTTATCGCACCAGTTCTGGAACGTCTATTGTTGTCCTTTTCTTGAAGCTTACGTAATCATGGCGTCATATTTGTTAGTCAAGGGGTGGCTAATTTACCACTTTCACACGCTTCGGTTTTGGCGTGCTAGTAACAACCTTTTTTATAAATAAATATCTTAGCTTACCATCTGGTTAACTGCAGGTTTAGTACATGATTTTGAATAAAGAAAAGATGAACTTCACACGCGTTGTTACTCATGAAGACTGCCTCGTTACCAGTAAAAAAAACTCTGATTTACCGTACGAATCATAGCTGCATTATGCTGCTATTTTACGCGGACATTCCAACACCAGCATATGATGTATCCAGCTTTCTGACGAACGAGACCAACTGATCGATGCCCAACCAAAATAGATGAACTTAAATTCTGCAGACTAGTGGTTGAAAACTGGTGATGAAACAAATCTTTCAAGATGTACATACTACTTGGCGCATTTTTGCACAAAATTATTAACCTAGCGGCTCATTACATTTTTAGTTTTGTTTTGAGTTGCCTTCATATACATTCATGGTACACGTCAAAAGCATTTGAATATAGGTTATTATAAATTAGATGATTATTTAAAGGATAAAAATGCATTTGCATAATGAGTATACTTAGACTTTTTTCTCTTGTGTATGATGAGTCAGATGGAGCTGTAAGAGCCGCATAGGCTAACAGCGCTAATATCACAGAATAAAAAAATATGGAGACAAAATAGTCGACTTGCGAGTTTCTTGCAGCTTATTCTCACAAGTTCACCCTTAGTAAGATCTTGTTTATGCGATGGCGTCGCTTTCGTGGTGTTCAAAAAACCAGTTTTTAAAAAAGTCTTTGACTTCGACTTGAAAAAGACCATATACAGTATACTGAATGTTTTTTTTTTCACTAAAGACTGAAACTGAACTGAAATTAATGACTGAAGGGGTGGAGGCGGAGGATAAACGATAATGACAATGGAACATTGACTAAAACTGAAAACTTCAAAACTACACCTAAAGCACCCGAAACGTCGGGAATTAAAACTAAGTAAAAGTAGTGAAATAAACGCGATAAAATCCGTAAATTTAGTTTTATTCAATATGTAGTGTTTGCGTAAATTTAAGAAATCATTACGTTCACTGAATTCTCGGATACGATTGAACCATACTATAAGATTTCTTTTTATTCAATAGGTTATACTTCAGGGTAAAATAAAATGAAAACATTCCACACCGGGTACAAAAAGGGAACCTTGAATTTGTTATATTCCTTAGACCAATCAAAGGGTAAAATAATGAAACTTTAAAAAAAAAACGCACGCTCGCTTTTGAAGACGTCTCTTATATTCTTCGATATACTTATCTTGGCAGTTATACTGCCATTGATTGGAAACCGTAAGATTTTTTCTGGCATATCCCATAGTCATCAATTACTACACCTATGGGGCGAAAAGGAGTCGTGGATTCTCTGACGCCTCCACTACGACAACGTGTAACTTTAATCCTGGCATATTTCACTCGTTTTTTCTTATTAATGAGAATACTAGGCACTCCTATTAGCACTCTACAATATTAAAATTACTAATATGCATTCCCTTTAACCACTTCAACCAAGATGTAAATTCTTGTGCTAGGAGTGAAGAGAGCTTGATACCTTAGTATATACAAGTTCGTCGACAATTTCAAAATACTGACAACTGTGCATAAGATATTATAGCAAACCAAGCGTACGCGCTGCCACGGAGGCACTCACTCACCACGCCGTAACGTAGAATTGGTGTAAACATAGGACAGTCAAAAATTACCCAGACCCGGAAAGCATAAGTAAATGGAATGGTGCGACCGGTTAATACTCTAGCTACAGAATTAAAGCTACATGCATTTACGTAATTCTTTAGTCTAGCTTATCGGCCCGTGAATATTCCTGCTGAACCTGTGTCTCTCCCGTTGTAGCAGATTTTTCTAAATCGTCACTGTTGCCAGGTGTAATGACGGTCACAGCGCCAAACGTCTCGCAACTTTTGCGCTGCTCTCCGTCACCCATCTGGGTATTTAAAGTCTGGAGTATATATGGTTGTAGTAAGTATGGTTTCTCGTTTCGCACTTATGGGTACATTAAAAAGTAATACTTCTAAATCGTTACAACAATACACAATGACATACTGGATTTAGAGAAGCGCAAACACAATTATCTTGACCATATGGAACACGCACTCGGCACTTTAGAAGCTTGGAACAGAGATCGCGTCCGTGACCGAAACAGCTAAAGTTAATAAAGTATCCGCGATTTGGTGGCATTGGTGAGCGAGCTTTATTAATGGAGATCCGAATTTCTATGTTTTTCTTTGCTTTTTAATGTAAGCGAAACACTGAAGCGGATTAGAATTAATAGAATTGTACGTTTTTTACGTGGTAGAGCCATATTGTAGCTATATTATGGTTGTAGCACGAATATAATCTAGGACCACGCTCTCACAGAATACCAGCGTAATATTGCAGCTTAACGCTGCTGTGTTTCGTATGGTGAATGTAGAGAACCGGAAACCCTTTTTACTGGAAATGAGGCATTCCATCTTAGTTCTCAGGAGTGATAACGTATAATTACATTTTAATTCTTAATCTAGGATAGATGTAGATTCCCCATGGGCCACAACATCCACTCACCATCAGGTGGACTATGTGCTCGTTTGTCACTCTTATTTTATTTAAAAAAATGTTTTACAATCTTATTTTTATTTTGATAGAATGATTTTCCGTTGAAGTCCACTACTCTGCCATAGATTTGAGTCGAATACCACCATAACCAGGCACCCTTATTTTATCATAAACAATAGTTCAACTACTTTTGTTTTCCGATCTGAAGTGTAACAGTCAGTATAACTATGCGTTTTAATATTCATAAAACATCAGATTATTTCGTGTGGTGGCGTCGAAGAGATCATATATCATCTCCATATCACCCATTGCGTGTACTTAGAGGCTGGCCTCTCTCGAGAGGCTACTTATAAAAAACTGCGGTTGGCAACCCGCTCGCCAGGCGTGTCGACTATGACAAACTCCACCCTATGAGGCAATCTATGGGGGGGCCTATGTTCGGCAGTAGACTTTCATAGGCTGTGTTGTTGATGATGATGATGAACACAAATATTTAGTTTATTGGAAATTTGAAGATTACAGGGTTTTGGGGGCGCGTTAACTTTAGCTAGTACAAGCACATTGACTAGATGTTAGAATTTCTGTTCTGCCTAAGAGTGCCTCTAGCTAGGCACCTATTCTGTCTCATAATAGCTGTGCTCAGGTCTGAAAGTTGTAGAGAGTATAGAGAATGAGCCTGTGAGGCACGCCATGTTGGTCCTCAGAAGTGACACCTGATCCGTAGCCTTCTTTGTTTGAAGTTGGTTGCATGTGTCCATGAACTGCTGTAGCTACTTACCATCAGGTGTACTGAAAGTACATT